GCCTTTCGTAATTGTGTCTTGGTGAACCATTGGATGCTCAGTAAACCACTATGTATGCCCTATCTAGCTTTGTTCCCACTTCCTGCCTGTAAATTAGATTTTCTGTATGTATCCCTCTTTGTTGTGCTCAAAGTATTAATTGTAAAAGAATATCAATTTGCCTTCGTAACCTTTCTTTGAAGGAAGATGTTGCATTAATTACCCCATTCCATACCAGTGTTCGAAATAAGGGGGAATTTGTCCTGATTAATAACATAGAAATATAGTAAATGTGTAATACATTTAATCAAATTAAATTTTATACCCAATATCTTACTTTTTCATGGTAATACAGTTTACTAACAGTTCAAATTAGGCATAAAGAAGCACAATTATTTATTTTAAGTTATTACTTGTCTTAACAAAGTAGAAGCGATGGTATAAAATGATGAAAAATAGCTCAAAAAAGCTGCTTATCCAGCGGACAAGCTACTGGACAGGTCTACTTGTCCTCCGTGAAAAAATGGACAAGTGAGTACAAACGGATAGCCCTTATTTCGAACACTGCATACTGGTTGCTGCAGACCTGTGATGACACACCAGAGCCTTTATCACTGTCTTGTCATGTTGGCGGCGGCGAGCGACGTACGACGTTTAACTCGTTGCCGCGGTTACAGGAGACTGACTACAGCGTTGTGGTGAAGATGCCGGCCCAGGAGTTCCAGAGGGTTTGTCGAGACATGAGTCAGATCGGAGAGTCCGTCACCATCTGCTGTACGAAGGACGGAATCAGATTCTCAGCCTCTGGCGATCTTGGCACCGGTATGTTGGTGTGTGTGTGTGCGTGCGTGCGTGCGTGCGTGCGTGCGTGCGTGCGTGCGTGCGTGCGTGCGTGCGTGCGTGCGTGTGTATATGCGTGCGTGCGCGTCAACGAAACACTCTTCGAAGTATAAAACGGACTATATACTGTCTTGTGGCAAGTTTGCACTAATCATGCAGAAATGAAGAGAATAGTAATAATTATAAAAGTTTGAATTTCATTTGTTCTGTGTGTGAGATTTTCTAGTTGTACTTGGGTGAAAAATTTGGATACGTGATAGTGCATAATTTCCCTCTCTGTTAAAAGCGTGTGGCATAGTGTGTTTGTGACGCCGTTTACTGCTACACAGACTAGTAGCACAAGGGTAAATCCATACGGTAAACACTGAATCTGTACGGCCTTCTGTAAAAACTGACTAGTTTCGTCAAGTGACGCGACACTTTAGGTTTCCGAACGTGACCTCGCCAGAAAGTTTGACGAATTCCTCCTCTCTCTCGCGCGCATCAGGTAACATAAAGATCGCTCAGAGCGCCAACGTTGACAAGGAAGAGGAGGCGGTGGTCATCGAGATGCAGGAGGCCGTGACCTTGACCTTTGCCCTCCGCTACCTGAACTTCTTCACGCGTGCGACGAGTCTATCGGGTCAGGTCAGCCTGTCGATGTCCCCGGAGGTTCCGCTTGGTAAGAGACGCGAGAAATGTCCGCCGCCGCCGCGCGGAACGATCGTCAAATTCATTATTATCATGTTAAATTTTGAGATATAATTTTATATCTGAATATATATCATATCAGATATATAAATTTTGAGATATCATTTTATATCTGATATATATCATATCAGATATATACTTTTTGAGATATCATTTTATATCTGATATATATCATATCAGATATATACTTTTTGAGATATTATCATTTTATATCTGATATATATCATATCAGATATATACATTTCGAGATGTTATCAACGTCGTTATCATCATATTGTTACATTTCGAGACGTTGTCAAGGTCGTTGTGATTCGAAGGAGGTGAGGTCATTGTCGCGTGATGATACTGCCGTATGATCGGTGCGTTCGGCGCAGCGAGGTTTACGAGAAACCAGAGTCTAACGCGTTCTGCGAATCTTGACGTTCCCGCGCGAGTCGTGCGGGACGCGTTGTAAGCGCAGGCCGACAGCGACACCGCTGCACGCGTGGGGCGTGGCTGGCGAGCGAGCAGTGACGCCGGCGCCCTCACGCCCGCAGTACAGCAGCTTCGGGGGGTGGGCGGGGTCCTCGGGAACCGGGGAGGGGGGGGTCGCCTCGCTGTGCCGGACGCCCGGATGATCGTATATCTTTAGTAATCTGACGACATGTGACCTTGGGGCGCCTCCTTCGAGAAACGTTCGTTTGCTGTTTTCGTTGCGGCCGAGGCTTATCGCAAAACTCGAAAGTCTCAGGCGAAATATTATTTGGTGACAAGAAATAACTATCTTTTCATTTGTGCGAGCAAGTAGTCTAGCATTATTATTATAATTATATATTGTGTGATAATTAGGCGTAGTATTTATTATTGGCTCTGCTAACGAAGGTGTGTTTGAATGCGTACGTGGTCTACAATCTTGCCCCTGCTTTCGTTTCATTCTAGTGGTCGAGTACAAGATTGCAGACATGGGATACATGCGCTACTACCTCGCTCCCAAGATTGAGGACGACAAGGACTGAGAAGCTGTGGCGACGAAGCAACAACGGAGCATTCCTATGAATAAACGGCAGTAATGGTGCGAGTCGTCTGTGACGGTGAAGCTGGCAACAGCAGAGGCGTGTTCAGGAGAGCGAACGCTGGCGAGCCCTCGCCTTCTGAACGACACTGCGCGAGCGAGCGCGAGCGAGCGCGCAGACTCCAAAGGCTGTTCGCGCAGGGCGCGAGTTGTTTAGAAGATGGCGTCGGGCAATCTGGCGAATGGGAATCAAACATTTCTGACTTCAATTTGCAATCTATTTCAACTTCATTTCATTTTTCATTTATTCATTTACTTCTAAATTCAATTCGTATCAATTTCGTCTGCTAATTCGTTTTAACAGTACTTGTTCGAAGACATTAAAATCTCACGATTAAAATCTGCTGAGTAACCCTCCATGGGGGCCGCCATCTTGGATAAAGCCAGCGCACAGCGAGCGCTCGTGTGTCGCTCAAGGGGCGCTGCGTTCGTGCATCGAGCGCACGCTCTGTTGAACACGCCTCAGGGCATTCCTATAAATAATCGTCTGTAGTCGTGCGCGTTGTCGTGTCGCCCTCTAGCGAGCGAGACACTGTCTATTTGAGTTTGTTTGAGTCTGGTGAGTTATTGAAGTCTATTTGAGTTTTACGTGGAAACGTATCATGTGTGCAAAACGTTTTCGGCGATCTTCATTGCCAGGCAACTATAAATTTACGAGACGAAAACGAGCACCAAAATCTCACAAGGTTACAAGAGTTTGCTTGTACGAAACATGTATGATGAAGTTCAGAGGATGGAGACATCGTGTGTATATATATCTATGGTTCATGTGACAATAATAACAGTACTTTTTCACAGTAAAAACAAAACTTCTGACTTCTGTGTATTTTTATTGGACGTATTGGTTTTGGTAAGAGGATGATTTCTCTGTGACAAACCTAATCAACAAACTTTCATTTCAAGTTCACAATTATTGAGCTTTAGTAACATCGCAGTTTCTGACTGACTGACTGACTGACTGACTGACTCTCTCTCTCTCTCTCTCTCTCTCTCTCTCTCTCTTCTCTCTTCTCATTTCCTCTCCTCCCTCCTCTCTCTCTCTCTCATCTCCTTCAATCTCTCTCTCTCTCTCTCTATCTCTCTCTCCCTCGGTCTCCCATCTCTCTCTCTCACCTCTTCCCGCTCGGCCTCTCTCTTCTCCTCCTCTCTCTCACTCTCTCTCCTCTCATTCATCCTCCTCTTCTCTCCTCTCTCTCTCTCTTCTCTCGTCCTCTCTTTCTCTCTCTGCAATACACAAAAATATTTGTTGGGGTTCATTTTACTTGTTTGATTTACATATATATGAATTCAATCCATACGGTTTCTACATTGAATAGTAACATCTACAAGCACAACCTGCAAATACTTGTACTTACAATATATAGTTGTTTAATTACATGGAATTAATACAGAGTTAAATGATAAGTGACATGGTTTACATATATGATCTCAATCCTGTTCACCATGCATTACCACATTACATCCTCTACCCTAGCATTCAAACCATACAATTTCTACATAGAATAGTAACATCTACAAGCACAACTTGGAAATACTTGTATATATTATAATATAATTACATATATTGTTGCAATATATAATTGTTTATTTACATTGAATTGATACAGATCGAGTTAGATGATAAGTGACATGGTTTACATGCATATATAATCTCATCAAAGATAAACGACGAACATAATCCTGTTCACCATTAGTTTTCCAACCTTGCATCCTCTACCCTAGCATTCAATTTCAATCCATACAGTTTCTACAATCACGACCTTGTTGTTTATTCACATTGAATGGATACGGAGATAAATTTTAAGTGACATGATTTGCACATATAATTATCCTATTCCACTGTAGCCCTCGTTCATCGGCTACCTAACACGCTTCCTATTGAGTTAACGTGCAATAGATACATACGTACATCACAATTACATACATGATTAATACAACATATGCGACAATCCTCTACTTCTCTCTTTCGTTTCTTGCTAATTGTTTTCTCTCTAGTTACTTCTCTCGCCTCTCACTCACTCTCTCCCTCTCAGTGACACTCGCCCTCTCATACAATCTCTCGCGCAATTTTTCTCGCTTCTCTCGGTTTCTACTTCCTCAATTCCTTACTCCCCTCTCGCGGATGGTATAGATGATCTATCTATCTATCTATCTATCTATCTATCTCGCTAGTTCTTTTTCTCTCTCGCTCTCCGCGCTTGAGAGAGGTCGATATATAGATTTTGTCATTGCCAACTTCCATGCCAATAGAAGTTAATGGGTGGAAATGCTATGTTGCATTTTGACATTCTAGCGCCATCTAGTGTGAATAATAATAGAAAATAATTATAAAGTGCACTTTATTCCTTACTTCCTTACTCCCCTCTCACGGATGGTATCGCCCATGATCAGTCAAGCGTTAAAAAACTTTGACAGAAAGTCTTTGTGTTTCGAGTCAAACTTTTTCACCCGTCGATACACACACAAAATCTTGCATGCGTGAAACGCGCAAAACGCGTGCATGCGTGTGTGTATGTACACACGCACGCATAATACACAGAAACGCACGCACGCACGCACGC